CCCGCCGTGCCCCGCCATTGGGGGAAATCGGAGTCATTACGGCAGCACAGGGGCTCCTTGCAGTCCGCGGCGCTGCCGGTAGCGTACTCCTGTCATTTAAAAAAAGATAAGACAATTGCTTATTTACAAATAATTGAGTCTCACGAGTGATTCTTTCAACATGAACAAGGGCGCCATTTCATTAAATAAAATACATATTTTAACCATATCTATTATATACACACACACACAAAAAAAAAAGATATCGACATTTCAAGTAACCCATTTTAGAAATAACAGCTAATTTAATCCAACAAATATAACAGGACTGTTGATAATGAAAATTCTCAGTGGACTGGATGACGACTTGATGCAAATGATGCAGGCTTACTTTGTCCCAGTGGATGTCTGTGAGAAACAGAACCCTGCTCTGTGGCGAGCCGGGTTTAGGCGGCACGGGCGGTGTAACGGGAGGTTTGGGGTCCTTGGGCAAGGTTATGTTCCACGACTCGTAGATGTCAAATTTGCCGCAAGGGGGGCCCAGTAGCAGGCCGCACGCCTCCGACGGCCACAGCAGGGACTCCTGTAAGGCCCGGATGAAGTCTTCCCGAAAAAGCTCAGTGATGTTACGACACACCTGCTCGTCGGCCAGGTGGAGGCGGATGCAGGCCTCGCCCACGGCGTAGGCCACTCGCTCTTCGTTTATGTCACTCTGGAAGAAAAATAATAAGTCACTAAATCCAACACAAGGACTGGACGTTTCAAATCTACTAAATGTCAACTAAATATTGAAATATTGACATTTGATGAATTTAACGGCATATCATTTGATCTCACACTGGTTGGGAATCACTGCTTTGAAAAAAATGCATAGTGTGCCCTTGCATGTCGCTTCCTTGTTTCACTGTCTTTTAAAAGATTGGTTGCAAAAGTACTCACATGTTCGAGTCTATAATCTATGCTCGAGAATCTATACTCTAGCACAATTGCGTAAAAAAGTGCCATGTTGTCTGTGAACTTTGTGTTCAAATCTCGGTTTGGGAGCAAAAGTAAACAGAAAAATCAATACTAAAATAAAGTACAGATACATGAAAAATCTACTCGAGTAGACTAAGTATTTGAGTATCTGCAGTCAAGCCTTACCAAGAGCGCCACATCCAGGAGGGTGAAGAGGACTTGACACACGCGGCACGAGATGTTGGTCCAGTTAAATTTCAACATTGGCAAGCGGAGACGCTCGACGACAAGCTGCGGCTGACCCGAGATCAGAGTCGGGTGACACGAGGCAGTCAAAGGAAACACGAAAAACAGCGCGCAGGTCAGCAGTCCGAAGCGGAACTGCGGCAAAAGCAACTGTGTCATATTGTTCTCGTGCAAGCCTTCCAACGTCCCGGCGTTGACCAAACAAAAACACAGAGAGTCGCTTAGGGGTGAAGAGGAAACATCTTCATGATTGTAGTGGTGAAAAAGAGCCAAGTGGAGAAATGACGAGCTAGCAAACTTTTAGCAGGTAACTGAAGATAGTGCGGACATACGGGAGCTTCGTCGTCGTCTGAACCCTTGCGAGGCTTGCAACAAGAAAAACAGCAGCAACAAAAAAAAAAAAAAGTTGTGAAATTCTTGCCGTCATCCGCTGGTGGCTGCGGCTCAGCCGAGCGTCCGCCGACAGACTCCTCTTAAAGGAAGTCAGTCAGCTGATTGGTCATGTGACTCACACGTGAGTGACATTGCTTTGAAACCACTGCGCGTATGACAAATGATATCAATTCTTTAATACTCGTCGTCTTGACGACATATGTATCGCGTTCAAAGACCTTAGCTTAGCACAACAAACACACAATCGAGATGTGTTCCCATAGCTTTGAGCCAAGATATAAAATCCTCATTTTGTTTTATTTGGACAAGAGGCAATTAAAAGCCTTACAGAGAGTTTTTCAAATCTCGTCCAGCCCTGTCCTGAATACAGTTCAAAGACAAGATATTTATCTTCAAACTGACTTTGAACACTCATTATGAATTGAATACGTGCACAACTTTCCAAAAAGGGAAGGGAAAGTTAAGGAATGGTCTAAAAATATTTTTGGGACGATTCCATAGCTGAACTGTAAACTAGGTATCGTAAAGCAGAAAAAATAGCATAACAATGGCAGTATATTTGTCACGCGATTTGAGTGTAAGTGTACAATTATTTTGACTGGAAAAAACGGATATGAGAAATGATCAGTCTCGGTATCTGTGTCTGACTGGGCTTTGGCATCATCCCGTGGCATCTAGAGGGCGTTACACATTTGTTTGCGAAGCAAAAATATGGTAAGAACTGAAAATCGTGAGTTTTTTAATTGGATCCCTGAAAATTGGGTTTACAGAATAAATGGTGAATTCGTGAATAGAGAACCGTGAATGGGCTGGAGTTCATTAGAAGCATCCCTGTCTAACTTTTTTTTGGTTTGTTTTGAGGGGTGGAGGGCATGGTTGATTGCACAGTGTCCTGCCGGCCCCCCTGGGCCGTGACAGATAGTTGTCGGTGGGGACGAGGGGGAAGGCTATCTGGGAAATAATCTGTCCACGCGTTAAGCTGCTTTATCCCCGCCGAGCCGAGCCGACTGCTGCGCCTCCGGTTCACGGACAAATCACACGAGCGGGAGAAAAAGGGAATCTCATGGTGCGAGTTTGACAAATTATTTTTTCCATCTTCAGCGTTGCGTGGAAGAGAGACTCGACTGGAGCGGCAGAAGCAGAAAAAGTCGCCGCTGAGGCAGACCACAAGTACATACTTGGATCGGAACCAAGGAGGGAAACTGGCAAAGGTGGTTTGGGCATGGAACATACGACACTTTGGATATTCTTGATAACTACTTACGTCTTGTCAGGTAAGACTTTTCATCTCATTTTAACTTCCAATAGTAGCTTTTACAACTAGAGTTAGTTTTGTCCCATATTTGTGATCTATCTATCTATTGAATCTCCTTTGCATATGTGTTCCTAATCTAATGGTACGTGTACATGTCAGTGTAGATGTGTGTTGATACTCAGTAACCGTTTAATAGGCAGATTGTGGGTAAACTCTGGAGGTGTGAGAAACTCATTTTTCATAACGGTGTAAAGCGTTTTGAGTACCCGAGGTCGAAAAGCGGTATACTGTAATATCCCATTTACCATAACCATCAATATGTGTTTTCTTCCTTTTTACAATGTTCTCCTGGTAGCCCAGCGCCAAACACATTGATGTATGCAAAGACTGTAAGAGCAATGATGTCATGGCATTGCCTCAAAAGCACTCACTAAACGTTCGGTCAGATTGCTTTGTGGCCACCTGAGAGTTCATTTTACTTAGATTTTACTATTTTTTTCATTCGTATTATTATTTGTATCTAAAATAGCAGTCAATCACATTGGGCTGTTCACAGCCACATTTTATATGCAGAAAAAACTCAAATCTTGCCTCTGGCCTTCCTGTTAGCGCACCTGATGATGAATCAGGTTACACTAATATGTGGTTGAAGAACATTATTCTCATGCATTTTACTGAATGGAGGGACGAGACCTGTGGCAGGATCCCCCAAAAAGTAGGGTAGAGGCGGTGGGGCTGTTTATGTAACGACAATAGTGGCTGTGTACGGATGTGTTGAGCTGTTGTGACATCTGCTCTGATTGCTTTTTTTCACTCAGAGTCGCCCATAATGCCCTCTCCATGCCAGCTGAGCAGTAATTTGCTCGTGCGTTTACATGTGTACATTCCCCTCTGTGTTTGTGCATGCATGTGTGTGTGTGTGCGTGTGTGTGCGTGTGTGCCGTGTGTTGAAGGACAGGGATTAGAGATGCACACGGAGGGTGAGACTACAAAATCGCTGCCAAATCCCAGACCGCAAACGTCTTCACCTGCTTGATGACCACTCGTGCTCGTTCCCTCCACTTTCTGTTTTGCAGTCATTTGCCTCTGGGGACTGACAAACTAACTTAAATTTCGTCATAATCCACAGTTTGGATCACCCAGACGAAAATAATCCAGGACAACCAGCTCTTCTTGTCCTCTTCCTCACCCCATTATGTTGCCTTGCAGACCCATTTTTATGATTGATGAGTGAGCCATCTTCTTACCCCCCCCCAGCCCCAACATCCTCCTCTGACATTTTGCACTCATCATGTCTCCTCATCTCCTCTATTTCTCTAAATTCATGTCCCCAAACAGCAACAAGAGTCATGCTAATCCTGTGAGCTGGCCTCCCTGAACGCAGGCCAAGTGCACACTCCACGCCGCCACACAGATTACATGCAAACATGCACACAGGCACTCCCAAACAATAACAGATTAAATTGTATGTTGTGATTTGGGGGGGGGGGCCTGTATTTCAATCAGTTAAAATGGGATCATGCAAGGGATGTAATTTGGCAGAGTGGTTGTCACAAATGTGTTTCATTCTTGCTCTATATGCTGCTGCTGCAGTGCAATCAGTTGCTTTTAGAGATAAGAACTGGAGTGGGGAAATCACATGATATGGTGGCGGTCAATGTCATAAACTGAAAGTAGGTTTTAGTTTGCTATGTGTGTCAGCATGCATTTGTGCGTCATTCTGTGGAAGACAGTATTCATTATGCGTCAGGTTCCTCACCAGTAAATTCCACACAAGCACAGCGTGTTAATCCGCGATCAATCACAGATTTGATGGCACAGAGATTAAAGAGTTAATCTGGCCTCACTCTCTCTTTTCTCTCTCGTCTTCTCCTTTTTCAGAGCTGGTAATGTATTTGGAAAAAGTCACTTTCAAACATTCTACTTTTGTAACCGCCCATTCACTTTTTGTTTCCCCACCAACAAAGACATGCTAGTAAAGACCAGCAATGATGTCACAATTCGATTGTTCCAATGTCATGCCCCCATACTACTTCTGACATGTACAGTGGATATAAAAATCTACCCACCCCGGTGACATTTTAAACACTACCCCCCCCCCCCCACCCCCACGGTGTATTCTTGAAGAATCTTTTATGTTTACAAGGAGTTTGTTTTTTATCAACAACTGGCCTTGAAGTAGAGCTGATGAGGACTGGTTGAAGGCCACTGGATAGCTGTGCAACTCATCTTTCTCCATGAGCAGAATGAGACCTTACACTCCTCCCTTGTCTTTCGACAGAAACAATGCATTGACACTTTATAAGACTGATTTTTTTTTTTTTTAATGCAACAGCTCATGTAAATAATTGGACTCGTTTAATAGGACTCGTTCCATGTGTGTTGCACGTGTAAAACAACATGGGCATTGTTGTGCCCGGTTCCCATGCTGCTGCTGTTTTTAGGTCATTCTGGCTCATGAGGTCATTTCCCATCCTCTTAAACAATAGAAGAATGAATGAATAGACCTGGTTGGAGAGCCGGAACATGAAAAATCGTGACGTCGGGTGCGTGTGTGCTTGAATGTTTGTGTGTGTTTGAGAGTACCAAGATAGGACTCACTGCGCTTCATCTAAAGCCTCTAATCAGCACCACACAGTTTACTCGGGAATTTTCAGAATGTATATGTGGTGATGCATTTTAATATGAATAATCTCCACCCACAAACCGCTTTATCTCGGTCCAGTTGACAATAGGAAGAAGGCATGCTGTCACACAATTCACGTTATTAGTGTGAGAAAGCATCCATGGCTGAGGTTGGACTGAGATTAATATTTGCTTGAAAATGTGACATATACCTTTGATGGAGAAAGACAAATTGAATATTATCATGTTTCAAAGTTTCATTTCAGCATACGCTTGATGGACCTCGAACGCTATGTTGTCACAACTTGTACACAATGGAGCACACAGAAAAAAGGGCCAACTTCAGCTGAATGAAGCCAAGGCCTCATTAACTGATAATATAGACAAGAAGGTTCAACTTCGGGAGGGCAGCATGACAAGATGTCCTTCAGTTTGTTACAGTGTCTCAATTCATGCGAAATCTACCCATTGAATTAACAAGGTATCCATTGTTTGCACCGGTGTCCACTGAGGGGCATATCGGTGGGCTGGGCTCGGATGCGCAACATGCAAATAAGGAGGAATGTTTTTCTGATAGGTTACTTGTATTTTACATATCCTGTGAATAAAAAGTGGTCAGCGGGGGTGCGAAGGTGGGGTTTTGATTGAGAGGCAGCACGACTTGTGCTGCCTTTGAGGAACTTGCCCCCTTTGCTGACCAGCAAAAGACAATCTGATCCTGAGCTGAGTCGAGTCTTTTCATTCAAAGTTCAAGATGTTCGGGTGAATTCCCTGACAACCTTGTATACTAAATGCATTATTACCTACAGTATGCACATGTAGGTTTTCAATGTAGGTACAAGAGGCCATTCAAGCATATCGCAATTTAAACCACAATATTTGGTACATCTATGCACAAAGTAATCCGTTTTGTCTTTACAAAGATGCTAATTGACTGTTGTTGATTGACAGTCAATGTGGTATTAAGTCAAAAATATGGTACATAGATTATTTCACTGCACGAGAGCTGTTTCCATTATTCGGGCGGACTGGTGTTGCTAAATAAGGAAACCACGATTAGACTGTGCATATCTTGTTGTGGTCACTGAATCACCATAGCCCCTTTCTCCGAAACATGAATACAAATATTTAAACACTTGTCTAATAGTAATGCGGTTTAACAAGAGTGCAGAGCTTAAAGTATGTCTGCGATTTCTGGCTGGGGTGTTTGTTTAAGGCTTAACCGTGTCAGAAATGAGAGCAAAAACGTCATGTACACATCAATAAGCCGCCATTAATATACAGTAATGGAAATATTGAACTTGCATGCTGAACTACAATATGTGGCTGTTATACTAAATAAACTCATTTATCAGTTTGTGTAAAATGTCTTGTACACACATACTGTACGGTAAATCATCATATGTGGGACGTCTGGTACTTATGATAGGATGACGACAAGACATAAACAACTTGATATGATGTGACGTGCGTGTGTGAAAATGGGCGCAGCCGTTGTTTGAAGCATCGTTTGTTCAGTGTGCCATCCTTGCGCTCTGCCAGGTTGCATTATGAATCAATCAGCAGGCTAGCTGCTTAAAAGTAAGACCACTCACACACTTGCTCACTCACTCTGTCTGGCCATGCAGCGCCAGAAAACACGTGAGTGAAGTACACTGGGTGAAGTGGGGGAGGCTCTGGAGTGGATTTGTTCCAGAGGATCAGTCAGGTAGTGGGGACAGTCCTTCACAAATCGCACTTATTTATACCTTACTGTAATCCATAACCTTTGACCTATCAGTCCGCTGCTGACCACGCATTGTCTGGAATATTGCTGCCATTTAGTTAGTTCCTTGACACCATGGTTGAAAATGTCTGTTTCTTTTTTGTGTTACAGGAGGGAATGGCCAAACTGTAGAAATGGATGATGGGAAATCAGGGTACCTGGGTTCCAAGGTAGATCTTCGCTGTCGCTTCATCAACAGCTCGCCGCCTGTCAAAATCTCACAGGTACTTGCCCACTTAGGCAGCTCAGCTCACAAAGGGGCCCCGAATAAACACTTTAGTTGATATTAGATGTAATCATCTAAAATTTCAAAGGACAGACGATAGACGGTCACGATTCAGGATTGTTTGATTACAAAAACATCACATGCTGCTGTTTTTATAATAAAGTTCCCATTATTGGATACTGTCACAGTGTACCAAAAAATACCCAATAAAGATGATTTAATTCACGTTGAACTGCAAATGGTTCAACTTGGGGATTGTATTTGGTACATCTATGCACAAAGTAATCCGTTTTGTCTTTACAAAGATGCTAATTGACTGTTGTTGATTGACAGTCAATGTGGTATTAAGTCAAAAATATGGTACATAGATTATTTCACTGCACGAGAGCTGTTTCCATTATTCGGGCGGACTGGTGTTGCTAAATAAGGAAACCACGATTAGACTGTGCATATCTTGTTGTGGTCACTGAATCACCATAGCCCCTTTCTCCGAAACATGAATACAAATATTTAAACACTTGTCTAATAGTAATGCGGTTTAACAAGAGTGCAGAGCTTAAAGTATGTCTGCGATTTCTGGCTGGGGTGTTTGTTTAAGGCTTAACCGTGTCAGAAATGAGAGCAAAAACGTCATGTACACATCAATAAGCCGCCATTAATATACAGTAATGGAAATATTGAACTTGCATGCTGAACTACAATATGTGGCTGTTATACTAAATAAACTCATTTATCAGTTTGTGTAAAATGTCTTGTACACACATACTGTACGGTAAATCATCATATGTGGGACGTCTGGTACTTATGATAGGATGACGACAAGACATAAACAACTTGATATGATGTGACGTGCGTGTGTGAAAATGGGAGCAGCCGTTGTTTGAAGCATCGTTTGTTCAGTGTGCCATCCTTGCGCTCTGCCAGGTTGCATTATGAATCAATCAGCAGGCTAGCTGCTTAAAAGTAAGACCACTCACACACTTGCTCACTCACTCTGTCTGGCCATGCAGCGCCAGAAAACACGTGAGTGAAGTACACTGGGTGAAGTGGGGGAGGCTCTGGAGTGGATTTGTTCCAGAGGATCAGTCAGGTAGTGGGGACAGTCCTTCACAAATCGCACTTATTTATACCTTACTGTAATCCATAACCTTTGACCTATCAGTCCGCTGCTGACCACGCATTGTCTGGAATATTGCTGCCATTTAGTTAGTTCCTTGACACCATGGTTGAAAATGTCTGTTTCTTTTTTGTGTTACAGGAGGGAATGGCCAAACTGTAGAAATGGATGATGGGAAATCAGGGTACCTGGGTTCCAAGGTAGATCTTCGCTGTCGCTTCATCAACAGCTCGCCGCCTGTCAAAATCTCACAGGTACTTGCCCACTTAGGCAGCTCAGCTCACAAAGGGGCCCCGAATAAACACTTTAGTTGATATTAGATGTAATCATCTAAAATTTCAAAGGACAGACGATAGACGGTCACGATTCAGGATTGTTTGATTACAAAAACATCACATGCTGCTGTTTTTATCATAAAGTTCCCATTATTGGATACTGTCACAGTGTACCAAAAAATACCCAATAAAGATGATTTAATTCACGTTGAACTGCAAATGGTTCAACTTGGGGATTGTTTTTTTTTTTAGGACGTAATTTGAAAAGCCCAACGCAGTGTGTCACATCTCCATTCTGTACCTTCACAGGTGACATGGCAGAAACTGGTGAACGGCACGAAGCAGAACATGGCTATCGCCAACCCGTCCCTCGGAGTGTCCGTGGCCCCGCCCTACAAGGACCGCGTCACATTCAAGAACGCGGCGGTGAGGCGTCGAACTCCGACCCTTGAAGACACCACCATCACCTTCTCCTCGCTGCGTCTGGCCGACGAAGCCACTTACATCTGTGAATACACCACCTTCCCTGCTGGCAATAGGGAGAACAAGGTCAACCTGACTGTATATGGTGAGAACCGCCTGCATGTACAAAGCAGTGTCGCCAACTACTGGCCTGGCATGCGTATTACAACATTTTTATTTAATGAGATTCAATATAATGATAAAGTGTGTTGTTAGAATGAATCTATCAATGAATATTCGTCTCGATTGTTCTTTTTTAAAAATTAACAGTCATTCCTTAATTGTTGTCTCTCAGCCCAAATTACAATCTGTTTTCTGTGTGGAGTTCCATGTATAGGCAATAAATTTCATCCAATCATTGTTTAGTTCGCCCAACCACTCAGATGAGTCTGTCCACACCCACGCTGGTGGCTCGCGCATCCAACCTGAAGACGCCAGTGGCGACATGCATCTCTGCCAATGGAAAACCACCTGGTGTCATCAGGTGCGTGTTCATTTTAAGACTTTCAAATTCAACGTGCATGATTTTTTTAAACCTGAATTGTATCATATATTTTTTTTTAAATTTAATCTCTTTAGATGTTAAAATGCTTCTCCTGTGAACAGGTGGGAGACGAGGGTACCTGGTGAAGTGACCACCCGCGAATACAGAAACTCAGATGGCACCTTCACAATTCAGAGCGACTACATTCTGGTGCCGAGCAGGGAAACGCACAAAGAGACGCTCACTTGTGTCACCTCCTACAACGACGAGTTGTTCACCGATAGTGTTACCCTCGACATTCAGTGTAAGTCATCCTCTTCCCAAAAATGTGGTTTTTTTTTTTATAGTTTGTGTACTGCAACGGTTCTCAAATTAGGGTCCCACAAAACAATTAACACAAAATATGATGGTGTATCATTTTTAAAGTGGAACTGGCACACCAGTAAAACAAACAAATCTCAACTTGCTTCAACATAGTCCGTTGGCACCAAGATGGTGGCAAAGCACTATTTTGTCTCAATGAAACTCCTCATCTCACTTCCACATTGTTTATTGACACCAAGATTTCACGAGAGGGTAGCAAAATGCTATTTTTGTTTGAATGAAACTTCTCAACTCACTCAACGTAGTTAATTGACACCAAGATGCCGCTAAAGTAATCCGTTCCAAACAGACATTTGCGAATAAGGGAACCGCAAAAATGTGCAGGTTCAGTGTCAATCGCCTTGATTTCGTTCCTCCGGGCTCCTTTCGTGTCATAGTCATAATGATGCAAAAATAAATGGATCGTTCTTGTTCATGTGTGCACTGCAGATGAACCCGATGTTCTGGTGGACGGCTACGATGGAAACTGGTACCTGAACAGAGAGAACGTGCAGCTGAGCTGCCAAGCCGACGCCAACCCGGCCGTTTCCCTGTACCAGTGGAAACTGTGAGTGAAGAGGATTTAAAAAAAAAAAAAGAATAATCTTTTTTTTTTTTCTCTTGCTGAGTTTCTCACTGTGTTTTCTTTAGGATAAACGGCTCCATGCCGAGCAGTGCTGAGATAAGAGACAACATCCTCATCTTTAAAGGGCCGGTTACATACGATCTGCAGGGTACTTACGTGTGCGATGCCACCAACAGCATCGGGACCAGATCGGGCTTCGTGGAAGTCAGCGTTATTGGTAAGAGACCACTTTACGTTAGGTCTCAAGAGCCAGAGTTGATCTCGATTGATGTGCGTCTTCTTTTCAGACAAGCCACTCCCGCAGATAGCGACGGGTGATGTCATCAGCGTGGTGGCGTTATTGTTGGCGGCGGGCGTGCTGATGGGAATCACCATCACAGTGCTGGTGCTCAAGATCAGAAGCAGGAAGGATGATACCTCGTATGTACTGTCAAGATTTTCGTGACGGACTGATCAACGTGTGACTCCTCAGTGTTTTTTAAATCTAGATTTATTCATCAAAAACTACAAAAACTAACACGTTTTTGTTTTTTTTAAACAAAAATGACTCGATGTTGTTGAATACACTCTTTATACTGTTTACTGTCTTTCTTTTTGCTCAGAGATGACTCTCCATCGAGGAAACTGTCCCAGCCGATACGCAAAAGAGCCGCGGAAGATATTCAGGTATACGTCGGCTCATTGGTCACCACATTAGATACAATTGCACATGATTAATACATCCAATCATCAATAGTCTGCATTTATAGACAATGAGGTGGAGGTATAAATTTAGTTCTGTTTTAGGATAAATGTAGAGTATATGAATACAGACTTTCGAAAACTAGATCTGCTATTTAGAGCAGTGATTTATGTTGTATTTCACAATACAAAGTTGTCATAACACACACAAAGCAAACACAATGAACCCCCTTTCGTTGCCTTGGAGGCAATACTCACATACTTTTTCCACATATAATTTTACCCCTCCCACAACCTTAAACACATTTGAAGTTAGTACAACACACTGGCGTAGTTTTTTTTCCAAGTAAGAGGCGAGGCGTGCTCGCTTCAAGCGGTTTAATGGTCAATCAAGCGCAATAATTCCGTTTTCATCCATCGCTGCTCCAAAGTTCCAAATGACTGCTCTCCTCACCTGTCCACAGCATTCGGGGCGTTTCTACGAGGAGCTTCCGAACACAGCGGACTACGTGAGCTACAGACTAGCCTGTAACAAGGAGGACTACCCGGAGCCCTACTCCCCGCCCATTAACCCCGCCGTGTCCTTCCTGCCCCAACACCCCTACCACTCTCCACAAGCCACTACGACCACGGGCAGCAGCAGCAGCACCAGCTCATCCAAGAACACCTTCTCTCCACCCTCGCACTCCTCCGCCATCTTTAAGTATCCCTCAGTACCAGGCCTGTCCTCTCCTCCCCCGGGGGTGGGGGCGTACACGTTCCCCAAAGAGCAGTACGTGTGAACCGACGGGGTGGCCACGGTGATCTGAAACAGAACAACACAAACTTTTTCCAAGAAAACTCTACTTGGACTACTTGGCAGTTTGTTTTTGGACTGTCAGCAACACTTGGGGGGAGTAATGCAGCTTTCGGACTACTGTTTTTGGGTCCGCTTCTACACACATCTACTCCCCTTGTGTCCCCATGTCCCAATTTTCATGAAAGGGAATATTCTCCCAGCCAAATTACCTGTTTTATAGCTGTCCATGACAAATTTTAATTGCTAACGGAATCTTTTAATGTGGCTAAACTACCCTCTACCACGCTATCTTTTTGTAAGAAAAGAATAAAAAAAAAAAAATGAATCGTACAAAAAGTTATATTTCATAATTTATGTTGAATAATCACTGTCTTCATCCTGCACTGTAATCGCTGATCGTTTCCAACGCTGAATCCCAGCATACCTCACCTTTGACGTCCCGGTTCATTGTGTTTGTATTTTGACAAGACATTTTTATTGACGGAGATTTATCTCTTTTTTTTTTGACATTTATAGAAAAAAATGTGCGTTTATGTGTTTTAGTATTCATTGACACCGGTTGTTGGATGAACTCTGAATTTTTTTAGTATTTCAATTAAAAAAATAAGCAAGAGCCTCGTGCCACTGGTGTTGTCGCTTTTCGCAAAAACTTTAAGCATGAATGTGTGGACCCAAAATATTTGATTGCTAATGGCAGGAATTATCCACCTGTCCATTTTCTAGAACACTACTCCCCTTCACCACTTTTAGCCAGTGAGTGCATTTATTTAGTTTTAACTTGAGCCTCGTGACAATGGATGTGGTCATTGCCAAGTGTCTGATACTGATCAGTGGCCTATATTCATCTGAGAGAGACATCTCACCTTACCTGCTAAGGCTTCCACTTAGTAGCCCCCTCCCACTCCTCTCTTGTTCTCCTTCGACTCCCAATAATCTTTAAGGATAATTCTTCCCGGCAGGATTAGATATTACCCCAAAATTAGCTTTTAAATGCTTAAATATGGGAAGAAAAGAACAGTCGTGACTGCTTACGAAAGCCGAATCCAAATCCCATCAGTTGTTATACTGCTCTGCGGTGCCCCCAACGACCTCCCAAATGAAAATCCAAAATGTATATGTACAATTCCACCAAAGGAGATTAAAGGTGGGGGCAAGTGGTCTCATTCGGCAGATTATCATTTAATTGTTTAGGTCCTCGCATAAATCGTGCGTCCCGAAACAAAATGAGCAAAAGGAAATCAAACATATAAATCCCCTCTAATCCCCATTGTGTGCATCCTCCGCAGCAGATTGGAGCCAAGATAAAAACTGCTGTGAGTATTATGTGGTGGAATGTTCATGTTGCGTCCCTGCTTGCCATTACCGTAAAATACAGGTGTATGTGGACCTGCCTTGTATAATGGATGAGCACAAAGTATCACCAGTGTCATTCTAACCCAACAGGAGAAAGACAGAAGAATGGAGAGAAAGGAAAAACGCATGAATAATTGAGCCCAAATCAGTTGACTTCATCCCTCCCTACTCTCAGGCTACTCCAAAGTCAACAACGCCTGCAACTGGGTTCTTCTGGAAACTTCTAGATGAGAGCGAGGGAAGAAGAGGAATTCATTTTGCCTGACCTTTAGATAATTCTTATCTGTTTTGTGGGAAAAAAAAATGTTGCTGGACTGAAGATCATGATGATACCATGCTGGCCCAACTGGTAGGGCTGCTTTTTCTGCTTTACTCTGCGAATTGTAAGTATGAAGAATATCTGTATCATAGGATTTCAACGGTGTTTCCTTATCATTTTAATCTGCAGTAATATTAGTTGCTTATCACAGGGTTTAAAAATATATATGCCAGTAAATATAGTTATATTGTCCGTCTACATGTTTTGCTGCACCATTTTAACTCAAATATCTGTCACGGAAAAAAGGACAAAAGCATATTAAGGTGTTTTTATTTTAAATCCTTTAAGGCTGTGGCTCTCAAACTTCGTTTGTTACCACCTCCAAGAATCAATGACTCTCCAAGTACCACCATTATGACCCACAAAATGCAGAAAGGATAGACACAAAATATATACACTGCAAATAAAATTGTGATGAATGTTCTGCTTTGTGACTATGTAGCAAATACTTTGTAGTCGTAAATGCAATGACTCCCGTAAACGTCGAATGCAATGAATCCTGTAACTGAACACTGGCGATAAACAACACCACTGCCTCTCTTTCTTGCACACGTTTGCATGCATGTGTGTGTCTTCTCTTCTCCCAGCGCAGCCCATCAATGGGGAGGTGGTGTACCGGGATACCAGTGTGTACGGTGTAGTGGGCAAAGCCGTGATCCTGGAGTGTGGGTCCACCTTACCTGACATGTACATATGGAGCTTCACCAAACCCGGCACTGAAGCCATCAAGGCGGTGGTGTACGACTTGGGCCACGGTCCCAAGATCCAGAAACTGGCCCACACGCTCGGGCAGGTGACGGTCATCTTGAAAAGTGCCGACGTCAGCATCGACAAGCTTCCCGTGGTTGCTCAGGGCCTCTACACATGCCAGGCCTTCTATGACATAGAGAACTTGCCCGTTGTCTACTACTACTACGTGCACCTCACAGTTCGAGGTAAGGCCAATTGCCGTTGACCACACAGAGTAATTTACAATGTCCCGTCACAGTAATAGGAAAAACTGCATCATTTTTAATATCTTGGCTACCTCATCCAGCTTCATAAAAGAGTCAAAGTGTAAAAAATGGCTCTTAATAAGACACAATACGTGCACCTCACAGTTCGAGGTAAGGCCAATTGCTGTTGACCACACACAGTAATTTACAATGTCCCGTCACAGCAATTGGAAAAACTGCACCATTTTTAATATCTTGGCTACCTCATCCAACAAGAGTCAAAGTGTGGAAAAATGGCTCTTAATAAGACACAGTGCTTAACGTGGCTATTATTTAAATAGGAAAACCGCTAAAGACTGACAGACGAGCTCACAAGTTGTTTGTTAGACTCTCCCGTCCGAGAGAAATATGTTAATTTGTTGAAAGTATTACTAATCATAGGCAACCCGGTGGGGTAGCAGTGAGCACATGGCTAACTAATAGTACTGTAAATAGAGCCAAGCAATTGGATACATCCTTCTAGTTAATAGAAAATCCATTTATCGAACATTACAAACGTGTACAAAACGGAATGGTCGTGAGACAACATAGGCAAACGTGACCCGCCGTGATTTCCGTGGATGCCCCGTGAGATTTTTAAAATGTGTACGTGGTCTCTTTGGCATATTTTGGTCCAAAGAGATGGATCAGTGATTTAGTAATTGTCATGATTCTGTTTGTGACCAACAGGTGGCACTGTAGGGCTCTCCCTGCAGCTGCACACCTGCTGGTCGTTAGGTAATTATGGCTTTAAAAGGACTCCCGGCGCAACCACTCGGTGTCGGTTCATTATTTGCTTCTGTCATGTTAGTTGCTGTCATGGTTTCTGTTGTTTTGGTGTTTATCAATTTGTTTTTTGCTTATGCCATGGTTTTGTTTGCTACTTTGGATTCGTTTTGTTTTCCAGACTTTGTGTGTTCTTGACTTAGTTTCCTTAGTATTTTAACACAATTTGTCAAGTTCACCCTGCTCCTGCCTGCTTTTTGGGGTCTACCACCACCTCGCCACGTGACAGTAATTGACAGACAACTAATGATCAAACATTTATTGAGTGGTAGTACTGCTCACACTTGATCACCAATAGAGACAATAAGGATGCTTTTGCCATCTGTAGTTCCAGTAACAAAGCCACACCTCTTGTTGAGCGATGGCTCGCCAGTGGAAGGATCAACGATATGGCTGCGATGCAATCTGGACAACGGAACTGGCCCCATCCAGTATGCGTGGCAACAAGAAAACCATCACGGAAATGTCTCGGTGTTCGCGCAGGGCGGCACCGATGTGGTCAACGTGACGGAGGTGAACCGTAACCACACGGGCTGGTACCGCTGCCTTGCCAGCAACGCCGTCAACAGTGAGCGCTCTGATCGGATATGGCTGGAGATTATCTGTGAGTACAGATCATTTTTTGTGGAACAATTCCAACAACTTTGGTGAGAAACGCCACTTTGAATATGTCCGCTGATTTAAAAAAATAATGATAATAAACTAATTTCTTCCGCAGTTGGTCCGGACATTCCCCATATCGAGGTGACGCCTTACACGGTGACCGAGAGAGGTTACTCGGCCTTGGAAAGAGAGACCGTCTCTCTGCAATGTCGAGCTCAGTCCAACCCGCCCAGCCAGTACGTGTGGTTGTACAACAACTCGCAGGTGTACACCGGGCCGCAGCTCACCATCACCAAGGTCCTCCGTATGCACACGGGCGACTACGCCTGCCTGGCGCAGAACACCTACCTCAACACACGATCCAAGAAAACAATCAGCCTGACTGTCTACTGTGAGTCGAAACTTTGCTCCGCCGACAAGAGTTTCGTTGTTTGATTGGCGAGCTCGTGGTCATTTACAGTCCAAGACGAACGCTGAATCTTCACCGTTTCTGATCTTCTCCTCGATTGCAACTGTTCTGATTTCTTTCTTGATCGGACAATTTCCTTGAAAAGTTATCACTTCCAAATCAAAAACACAGCACACTTCCACTCCCCAAAAAACAAACCACACACACATGGATGCGTAAAGAGGCCCTCCAGACCGGTTCTTCCGTTTGGACCTCCGGGGAACTTGACGGAACGCTTTGGCAGGTACTTGCTGTCATGTCACAAGCCATGACAAGTGACAATGACAAGTGGCGATGGTCACCTGTAAGGACCAGCGCTTGCCATTCTCCTGATTTTTGTTTAGCTGATACAGTGTTCCCTCGCTACATCGCAGATCACCTCCCGCTGCCGGGGAACTTGTTTATTTGTCTAGTCTAGATCATAAATCCTTGCTGTTATTGTGGAAATCTGTGGTTCATTACAGTTGTTTTTTTTTTGTTTTTTTTAATGGGTATACAATACAATGATACCTTGATTTATGGGTTGAATGTATTCCACGACCAAGTACGTTGCTTCATTTACTGGTGTAGTTCATCAGTTTTCCTCATTGAAACACCATTGATAATTTCCAGAAATATTTTGGGGTTCCATGTTTTAATGAAATAAAATATAAAGAAGAGAAATAAAGTGGTATCATGAAGTGTAATTAGGTAGAAAGTCACGCTCGTGTTGACGTCTGCCATTACAGGGCGTTTGGTTGCCCGTTAAAGCATGCTCTTAGTTTAGCGTCGTGTCCGCTCTATTCTCCTTGCGAGTGTTTTCATTTGTATTTGTGATTTGTGAACGGGTGAAACTGCATTTTCTCTACATTTTATGCTTGATCTGCTGGCGTGCGTGGTTTAAGATGTTTACCATGTGTCTGAAAAGTGTGTTGCAACATCTTTAAATATGTGGGGTGGTAAAGCTATCTAGCTATTGTAATAATTTTATGGTGTCTATACATCTCGGATTTTCACCTATGGGGGTCCCGCGATGAACGGGGGTTCACTGTATACCCGGAATTGCCAGTTTTATCTTCTCCCCTGTTGTTCTGCATCCTTCACTGCCTTGTTACGCCGCCTCTTCTCCCCACAGATCCACCAGACGGCTCCCCTTCCTGTTCCATGGAGCCAGCCATGAATCACACCTCCCTGAGACTACGCTGCTCCTGGACTGGCGGTTTCCCTTCCGCCTCTGTTCACTGGGCTGAACACTTGAGACGTGCAGGAGAAGATAATGCAGAAGGAGGGCACAACAGTGACATCTTGCTGCCGTCCGAAGACCTGGCTGGCAACAGCAGCTTGTTTACATGCGCGGGTTACCACCTTGCGCTTCAACAATCAATGGAGTGCAGCATATGGGCATGTGAGTGCACCTTTTGAACAATGGTTTGTCCTCTCTGAAACTCTCCTTTTGCAGTCTTGATACCTGATGCTTGTGGGAACATAGCGATACTTTATTAACTAGTCCCAACACAGCATCCCGCACTCAGATCATTAGACACATGACGGCGGTAGCCCCAATTTTGACTCACTTTGTTCAGTTCAAATAAATTTCAGCAAGTGTTTTATACCTCACATTAGACACTGGCACTGACGTTATCACACATCTAATTATCTGATACCGTGTCACTCAGTCAGCTTTTCTTTTCTCCACCAGATCTGCCCCCATCAGAACCCGCGTGTTTAGCCTACGTGACGACCAACAGGCAGTATCTGATGTTGTCCTGCTCATGGGATGGAGGGGCACCCAATGCTTTGGTGTGGTGGGAGGGCCCCAATGGCCACGGCACACCCAGAGAAGAGAACTCCAACATCCTGAACATTCCCTATGGCACTGCCCGCAGTGGAAGACCTTACATATGTCATGCAAAACATCCACTTCTGGGCCAAACCAAGACCTGCGGGCTCACATTGGGTCCGTGCTCAGAGACAAGTATTTGCATCGATGCTACGTGCTGGAAATGGGAAAGGTGTAACTTGTTCCCGTCTATTCACAGAGGCCCCCGTGTTGCTCACGCAGCGCAGGGTCGTGTCGGTGTTTGAGGGGGCTGACGTGCAGCTGTCTTGCAACTTGAGGGCGAACTACCTTCCCACCAGTCATATAACATGGTTCAATAATCACGGTTCGGACATCCGGGACACGTCCAAGTACATGTTACTGCGGACGTCAACATGGGCCAACCTGACCGTGCGAGACACAGATGAGACTCAGGATAGCGGCGAGTACAGGTGCACCTCAAGCAACGCGGTGGGAGGAGCCGACCTCAACATCACACTCGTGGTTAAGAGTAAGATTCTTTCAAATAATATTTCCAAGACACAGCGGCAATGTTCAGCTCTAACTGTTTTCATTCTCAGAGCACCCCATGCCACCCAACGCCACCCTGATCAGGGTGATGTACATCGGCCGCCTGCGGAACGAGGTGGAGCTCGAGTGGCAGATGGAGGGCGATGCCGAGCAAGGCTGGACCGGATTCGTCGTGCAGCACAGAGGGGTGAACGAGCGACCGGGGAGGAGAGCAAGCAACAATGACTCAATGGAGGAAAGGATCGGTGCTGCAGTTTGGCACCATAACGTCATCCAGGATCCCGATGTCAGGATTCACACTGTGGGCAGGCTGACACCCACCGCAAACTACCAGTTCCGGGTCATAACTTTTAACCACAGAACCGTGGGACACCCCTCCGCTACAAAAACGCCAGGTAGATTCAAGAAAAAATTCTAGATTGGCACACAGTAGCGCACAAACATCTGGCAGGCTGAACAATCTCAACAGAACATAATTAGACGTACCCACCTGGGATATATTTTTTTGTGGGGAAAATGATTCAAAGGCAACTGTATGACTTCTTGATTGTTAAAGCTACAGGTGATGAAACTAACAGAATTGGAATTTCCCCCAGGACTCTCTCATAATCCTAATGCCAATCAAGAAATCCTGTTGCCTTATTATGACCTGGATAACTGTCTATATGTGTTTTAGGATTCTTTTAAAAATCACGGGAAAATTACCAAAAATGGCCTTCATGTTGAAATGTTTGACGGTGAAAATAACCATTCTGGATCCACACCAAATTTTAATGGGTTCTTCCACGGCGCCTTCCCCATGTTATTTCCCAGACAAACTGACTGGCAATCTTACCAACAACCCCAGTGAAAACCTACTGGCAGCGGTTCCAAATGTATAACATCGTATTAAATTGAGTGTAGATGCTGTTAATAAGACTGTGATGGATATAATCTGGTGTAACGGTTTAACACTGTTCTTTTTTCTTTATTTACTCAGGTGAAAGACTCATCCCTAAA